GGCTAATGGCTAGAGTATGTGCTTGGGAAATAGGAGGGGCTGGCTCTATTCCCTTCTCACGCGTGGGGATCACACCCATGGTATTTCCTTTGCCTGAAGGGGCTATAGCTACAGTGCTGGTCTGTGCAGGACCTGGGATTATAGAGGTGTGATGTATAGCTCATTCCTGGCCCAAAGCAGTAGCCTAAATTAGCAACCCAGGGGTAAAATGTCCAGGTGGGAATGAGGGGACAATTTTAATACTTTCCCCCAGACTATCTGCACATTTGGCAACACAAGCAGACCTGCAACCTTCTCCCTGGATCCAAATTCCCTAAACACTCAGCAGCTGGCTTGCCCATATTTTGCCCCAGTGCCTCTGCCATGTGTTTCCCTCTCCAGCATTAAGGCAGGCAGAGTGGGTTGGCGCCCTTCTGTGCTGAGTGGCAAGGCACTCCCTAGGAGGGTCTGCAAGCCTCTCCACAAGTTAACGAATCCTAGAGACCTTGGGGTTGGAGATGGGTACACAGCTTTTCACCCTGAGAAAGCTGCATGGGGTGGAAAGCAAGCCATCTAAGGAACTTGCAGCCAAATGAGGAGGTAGCAAGTGAATTTTCAAAGTTTCTGGGGGTAAGACGATGACTGAGAAAGGTATTTTTGTGTCACACTTCTGTACTTAGCTACAACCCCCATAAGGCCTGTTTTGTGCCATGAAAACCGTTTATTTCTGCAAAAGCATGTTGTGGTTTAACCCCAGCTGGCAACTAAGCCCCATGCAGCTGCTCGCTCACACCCCCAGTGGGGTAGGGGAGAGATTTGGAAGAGTAAAAGTGAGAAAACTCATGGGTTGAGATAAAGACAGTTTAATAGGGAAAGCAAAAGCCACACACACAAGCAAAGCAAGGAATTCATTCACTGTTCCCACAGGCAGGCAAGTGTTCAGCCATCTCCAGGAAAGCAGGGCTCCATCACGTGTAAAGGTGACTTGGGAACAGAAACACCATCACTCCGAACATCTCCCAGCTTTCTTCTTCTTCCCCCAGCTTTTTATGCTGAGCATGACATCATACGGTGTGGGACATCCCCCTGGTCAGTTGGGGTCAGCTGTCCTGTCTGTGCCCCTTCCCCTGCCCCAACTTCTTGTGTCCCCCCCAGCCTGCTTGCTGGTGGGGTGGGGTGAGAGGCAGAAAAGGCCTTGACTCCGTGTGAGCACTGCTCAGCAGTAACGAAAACACCTATATTATCAACACAGTTTTCAGCACAAATCCAAAACACAGCCCCATACCAGCTACTGTGAAGAAAATTAACTCTATCCCAGCCAAAACCAGCACAAAGCACTATTGTGAAAGATGGCATTGCAGAATTATCAGAGCAGAATAATTAAATGAGAAGGTTTTTTCCAGTTCTTCCTCAAAAAGGCCTTTCTTTCTTTCTTATAATTTCTTCAGACCTTGGCAAAGAAATGTTGCTCTACTGCCCTCTTTTGAATATTCCCCTTATACACTCCTTTCTGAGTAAATTTGATCCCCCCTTGTTGGCCTTGTGCAAATGGCTGTGGGTTTTCCCACCTTCTGGGTAGCCCAATGTTAATTGTAGTTGAAGCCCTGTTCAGCTTAGTACTGCAGCTGTAGAAATCAGAGCCAAAAGAGTTGTCTAAGTAGGATGCTGTGCTCAACCTCAGATGAGCTTCAGGACTAATCCCAGTGTGTCAGTGGTATTACTATAATAGCTGAAGCAGGAGGAATATCTTAGCACATAATGAGCTATGCTACATTTATGAAGAAAGAGAGAACAATATTCTAGTTTAAATAACAGACAGGGATTTCATATGTAATTATTATAAGCCACAGAGAGTAAGGAATTAATACAATCATGGAAAAGTACTGGGCTTTAGCAATGTGCTTATAATTAATCACTAAATAAGCATGTTCTAAAACTTAAATGTGTGAAGCACATTATATTACCTTAACATCAAGCAAGGACATGGCTGGACTTAAGGAACAAGGATAAATAGTGTAGAAACAGGAATCAGGACAGCACTACGCTCTCCACGGGGCTGCTCTGGGCTGTCTAGCCACCCTTTGGCTGCAAGCAGGCTGTCCATGGGCAGTAGTGCCAGTTGGTGTAAAAAAAGTGATAGTTCTAGAACAAGAGACCCAAACCCCAGGGCACTTGAATGTGCTGCTTTGCATGTCCCAGCTTGCCTGCCATGTCATACCTGGACCTGGATTGCTGGGGATGGGGGCACAGCCCTGGAGATGCTGGTCTGTTCCTCCACCCAGAGGCTGGCAGGGTCCATCTCTCAGGGCTCCTCTTCCTGTGAATCCTTCTGCTTCTCTGTTGTTTCTGCCCTGCCCATTGACCGACACTTTTAACCTGCATGTACCTTTTCATTTCGGCGTGATCATCATCCTTGATCCAATACTGGTGCTAACCCACGTGTGATGTAGTGCTATGGGCCATTCTTATGGTTAAGGTAGAGAAAAGCCACTTCTTAGTCGGGGGCTTTATACGAGGATTGTTAAAATATTGTTGCTCAACAGTTGTTGAAAATATTGTCACTGGAAAAGACTCCTGTGAAAGAGGAACAAAAAAGAGGTGCTGGATTTCATGTAGCATTTATGTAACCATTCCTGTGGTTAGAGCTGGCTAGAAGAAGACTAGAAATATCAAGACTATGTAAGATGTTAGCGTGGGAAATAATTCTTACCCATTTACTCATACGTAGTATCATATGGCACAGTCATCACAGTTAACAGAGGGGGAAATAATGTGTTAAATTTTTTACAGATGGCTTTTTTTTAATTAGGGGAGACAGGAGCAAGAAACATTTTAAATAGCTCTTTTAGTACATAACAAATGTTAACAGAATCTCACGAGGATAAGATTTACCTGCAGCTACCACTATAATCCAACATAGAACTGCAAGCACTCCCAGCACAACGTACAGGAAAAGTAGATGCATCGCATGTAACTTCAATTGCTATTGATTTTGCTTATCTGTTCTAGGTCACAATATGATCTCTGTGCCATTTGTGGAAAGGGATGTGTATTTTAAAATTGTCGACAGTTTGTAAGGCAAAGTCCTTCCTTTGCCGGCTTTTTCCCAAATCGCTATAGATGCAACAGAAGCGATGAGGCCAGCAAGAAGAATAGAGGCACCTACCAGACTGGCTTTACACCACACTATAGAACACTTTACAGTACAGTGAGAAGCTGTATGAACACCATATTCGTGCTTGTATGTCTCATTGCACAGCTGACCAAGACCCGTTGTTTATAGGCCCATGAGTATTTTTGGCAGTTTTGGACCAATACACACTGTAGTGAATAGTCTGGAAGAAGATGCAGACAATTCCGGGCATTTTCCTCTGATCTAGCTATCCAATTTTTGCTTCAATTGAGTTGTCTACCATTGCTGATCAAAGACAAATATGTGGCAGGCAGCGTAATTACATGTTATTTCTCTGTCATTTGCCTGTCCCATTACCTCTGGCATGTCAGAATGGTTCTGGCAAGGCTCAGACAGTAATAAGGCTACTTCTTGTTAGAGGCAAATCCTCTGAACCCTCTTTTCCATCACTTTGTGTTTTATGTAATCTCAGTGACACATGACTTGCAGTGCTCCAATTTGGATCTGGTAGGAGATTACATCCACATGTGCTACATTGAAGTGGAAGTGCCACACCTTTATTACATTTTAGGATTACATATTTCTACTTTAGATGTGGACAGTTACAACTGATCTCATATTTTCCTTCCCCTCTGAAAACAGGTGACCTTCCAGACCATTTCAAGATGAGAAAAGCTGTTACAGTGCTGTTGCAGAGATAAATGTTACACAAGTGATTGTGTTGCTCACTACATGTCAAATAGATGAAGCATCCAAGGCCATGTGCCTTTTTCCCATTAAATTTCTGGGTTTCAGATATGTAGGGTGCTCACAGGGTAAAAATGCCTCACTCTTAGTTTTTAAGCTGTCTGAAAAGTAAAAGTGTGTGAGTGCTCACTGTCTTACTGTGGCTGGAGGTGATCTATAGGCGTGATGCTCAGCCCATGCACCACTAGTGGTCCATGAGACATCAGAAGGCACTGTGTCTTGACAAAAGCCATGTTTCTCACTCTAATGCAGAAGTTCCATTTTTTGTAAAACTAAAAATGATGTGTTAATGCAAAGAGCTTTGCTTGCTTGAACTCCCACAGCTGTGAAGCAATACATATATACGTGGTGACCCCATGATATTTTTCCCAGAAAGGCCAGATGCGTGTTGATTTAGGAAAAAAGAAAAGAACCCAAAAAGCTTCCAATCCAGTTCACTCCAAACTTGTGGAGTCCTGTCCGTGCTCTGCCTCTCTAGTACTTTGTGTGGCTGAAGCAGTCGATGGCCTGAAGGTTATGCTGCAGTGTGTCTATCTGCAGCCCAGCTGAGCTAGCTGCCTTAGGGACTGTGTAATCCATGGTGGTGTTCCCAGTTTCTCCCTCTTTTCCTGTCACACTTGTTCACTTAGCTAGAGGTTCCCCAGCCCCTGGCTTTCTCTAGCCCCGTAAATATGCCTTTTGAGCTGCCATTACACTTGTCTGCTAACCAGACCTTTCTGGGTTTTTTAGGTAATTTTTAAAATATCCAGATTCTTCATAGCTCTGCAGCCATATGTGTAGGTTAGAAGCAGATGAATCAGGACAACCAAGGTAGTTTCAGCTGGCAAAGACACAGCGGTCAACCCAGCTCTGCTGCTGGTGACACAGTAACATGGAGCTGTACCCCATGTCAGCTGAACTCTCCACCAGGGATCCATGGAAGAGACCAAATTAAAAGCGTACTGGCCTCCAGTGAAGTCAAGCATGAGCACATGCAAGGCTGGGGCTGCACACACGCACACAGAGTCCACCTGAAGTCTAAAAAGACGCTCATACACGAAGACAAGGAATTCATCTTAACAAATAAAGTCTAATACTGTTTTTCTGTTGTTTAATTCCCAGAAGGGTCAGCTACAACGTGTCACTCCAGGAAGACTCCACAATGAAAAAAACAACCCACATTTGCTTCTTACTGGTCATCCTTCTGATTGTAAGTATGACAAAAGTGAACTGCTTGTGACACCTGCCAAATTCAAGTTTGTGGTGATGTGCAGAAAAATAAGGAGTACTGAGTTATATTTCTTATATGCATAGGTGAAGAAATTCGTTCCCTTACTGATAAATTTCAAGATAAGGTTAATAAAGTTTCTGAATAAGGTATCTCATAAAGTTTGGAACTTGAACCTATTGTTTCTTGGTGAGAGAAAACTGCAAGTCTGAAGAAGGTAATGCATGTGATTTTTCATTTCTGTGTTCTACAGGCTACAAGATATCAGTGACAGGGAAACGTAGGTGTTTGAACACTTGCTTAACACAGTTGTGTGAGACAGACTGACTTAATTGTGGATTTTCACTGTTTATAGTTACTCTGCTATTAGGAAAGCAACTGAAATGGAAAATAACAGTATAAAGTTTAGTTATTCAGTTCAAATGCTGTTTTCAACTGTTTAATATCAGTATTACTGTTATTTCAATGTACGCAACGTGGCTGAGTCACTGTTGTTCTAAATACGTAGCAAATTCATTTCTACCTGACTAAATACCTCTCATGTAAGTTGAATGCATTCTCTGATCTCTACTTGTGAAACCTCAAATTATTAGCAATTATCATAAAATTGAAGATATTACAGGTAGTCAGAAATGAGAATACTGCCCGGAGCCTCAGTTACTGAATGGTGAGAATAAGTCTGAATGATGCTACTGGGAACAAACACCTCCCTACCGCGGTGTGGTATGAGTAACTTGCATGCCAGATGCCACCTTAGTCCTCAGTCATTTATCTCTTGTGTTCCTGAAGAAAGCTTTCATTCTTATTCTTCTTGTGTTTTGTTCATTAGCTCCTCATGCCCCTCTGCTTCTCAGCTTCTCTTCCAACACCTGATCAGGGAACATTTGTGTGCATCTCGCCATCAGCTCCCATCCTTTCTGGATATAACTTGTAGAAACATGGCTAGAAGACACATTGGGAAACAGTAGAGACCTCTCCCCCTAGTTTGCCTGTTGGGTTGTGTCTTCTTCTTCCAGCCTAGCATAACTTGCCCACAGTGCTGTTTGACACCTATGTTTATGTGGATAAAAAGGAGGGAAGGAAAGCAGAGAACAGTAAGATAATGATGGATAGAAGGGGGCAAAAAGAAAACAATGAAATGATATCATGGAGAACCCAGGAGAACAGCAAAGAACACTTCACTTTAGTAAAATACTGAATTCATAGTTCAGGATTAGGACCCTCAACCAAAGAAGAGCTGGAGAGCAGGAGAAAGACCGGAGGAGAGCTAACACATTTCTGCTAAGTTGGTCTCAAAAGTAGTTAGTCCAGGATTAGTTAATGATTGGAGGAATCATCCCTGTGCTTGGCAAAAGTCTTCTGCCTTGAGGTGTATCAGAGTATTCTGATATTTGTGACCTTTTGTGGCTGTTACGCATAGCCCTGCAAGGGATGCATGTAGCAATGCACTGGCTGGGACATCATGGTCAGAGGTCTCTCTAACCAAATGGCCTGACAGGGACCAGCTTCCTTCTGGGCTTGAATCCCAGCGGATCTGCATAGCCTAACAGGGGCTTTGGCAAAGAACAGTGATTCTTCCTATAACAAGCCAAGGCTGACAGAGGGAACAGTTCCAGATCATTTTTCTTTCCCCATCAGATGACAGAACTGTAAATATTCTGATAGCTAAACAGCATTTCTGACTTTTTGAGGTGCTCTGACCTACAGCATGAATTTGTAGGTCAGCCCTTGAGGGACTGAGCTGATCCTTGCTCTGCTATCCACAAATCTTTTAAATCTCCCACCTGTGGTAGCATGCGTGCAACATTAGTTCTGTGCTCATTCCTAGTACTCCAGGGCTAGGATTTCTCTAAAAAACTCTGCAGTGAGATCGGTTTCCCCTTGCTTTTAGAGATCTTTGCACCAGAGGGCTCTCAAACTTCTGACCTTGATGGATAACTTAAGCACAAATTTCCATACATTTTCACTGGTCCAATGTCTGTATTCCTTTCTTCCCCACTGGAGTGGCCATACTGTGATCTACTTAGGCACCTCCTAGATTAATTTATCCAGTAAGGGAGAAACCACAGTCATAGAAGTAGACCATGAACAAGCTCTGTTTCCTTGACGTCGCTTGCCAGAAGACTGCTGTTAGATCACGTATGAAAAATATTTGGCGTCAGACTTCTTTCAAAAAATTTCCCCACCTGTAGCTGGTTGAAAACATTAATTTTTTACATTTTATTTGTGGTATGTAATAAGGAAGGGTGTCTTTCTTTCTCTTCCAGAAAGACTGTTCCCATTCTGTTGGTCCTTTTAATCATGCCTCAGTTCCCAGACCTATGAGTCCCTGGGACTTAAATGTCAGCCACTGTCTGAGGTTGAGGAAGATATAATAATCAAATTGATTTGTAACACAGGG